AAAGATATTAATATTTCTTTTAAGATTAAAGTCTCATAAGCTCATTTCTCAGAAAACCTTAGAGAGATAGTAGTGGGAGGATCTTAAGAGTTTTGAAGTTCTTCCTTTTCTTCTTTCTAGCTTGAGAGTTGTAGAAGTATGTGCTTGAGTACCAGAGTAGTGATCTAACCCCTAGTTGAGGATTGGAGTGGTGCGGAGCTTTCTGGTGTGTGCTACAAGTTTCTTGCCTTCTTCTTCCTCTTACTCTCTTTTAGAGTGATTTGTTGAGGTAAGGGAAGTTATAACTTTGATTATGTGGAATTGGTTGAGATATATGTTAATTGATGGTCATCAAATGTTATTATGTTGGTTGTTTCAAATTGAATGATGGAGGTTATAAGTTTTGTTATTATGGAGTATGTTGAGGTGATCTTGGTGTTTAGCCAAATGATTGTTGCATGCGGATTTTGTGGTTGTTTTTGAGTTGTCCAGATTGTGTGTGTAAGAATCAATGCGTTGCATGTTGGATTTTTCTTGAGTTTTAGGTCTAGAGAGCTAAATTTGTGAATCTGTGGAGTGTAGAAATTCACATAGCACCAGGAGTGACTCATATTAGAGGCTCTCTGTCTCACTTACATTGAGCACATGATTAATGACAAACGTGGGTTACAAAGAAGTTTATAACATGGTCATACTAGACGTGGATTGAATGGCGCTAAGCATGAAGAGATAGAAACATCTCTAACTTGGAGATATTGGGCCCAAGGTTGAGTGGTGTCCAACATACCCAGGATGAAATTCCCTGCCTAGACAATGTCAAGCACCAATGTGGTGACATTGGATATGAGCCAGGTAGAGACTCTTTGCTTGAAACAAGGTTAGACGTGAGTTTTAGCCACACCAAACTTGAGAGCAACAAGGGCTCTTTGCCTCATTCACGTCGGGTGCAAGAAGATTGATGCCAAGCGTGTGTGAGTTAGAAACTCTTTGCTTCATTTCATGCAAGGCATGGGAAGAGTGACATCGAGCGTGAATCACCTTATAAATATGTGTTGTTAAAAGTTGAATATGTGTAGGTTTGTGCAATCTATTACATGTTATAATATGATTACGTTGTGTTATATGCCATATGTTGATGCATCAATCAATTTTTTATACCTTGGTGTAGTATATTTGTATAAGTTAATTAAATGGTTGAAAGTTGAGTTGAGTTGTATTTTGGTTAGTTGAGTAGTTGTGTCGAAAATGCTTTGGCATTAAAGTTGTATTGTGTTTATCGACCTAAGACTAAAGGAGAAATTATTTTTAAAGTTGCATATTTTATTGTGAGGATATTGTGTTGAGGTGCTTTGAGAGTCTAGTTGACCCTTGAAGGGGATAATTATGTCTGCTATAGGACCTTAGTTGATGTGGTATATGGACTACAAGCAACTATTGTTGATTCATATGTGAGCAAAGTCAAGACATATGTGTATAAAGCAACCAATTTAGAGTAAGGTCAAAGGTTGGGGTTAAAATCCCTAACTAAGCACTAAAAGTGTATAATATTTGGAGGGTAGTTTTCGAGGAAGTCACCCAAGCCTATAATGTTGTTGAGCACCAATTATATGTTTTGGGTGTTTTCGAGTGTGTGTGAAAACTAAAAGAGGAGAGGAGATGATAGTAGTGTGAAAACTAAATAGGAAGAGGAAAATAGTAATGTAAAAATTGAAAAAAATTAAAAGTACCTATTGAAATAAATGGGGAGTGGAGGAACGTAAGGGGTGCATGTGAAAAATAAAAAGTAAAGGGAAGGAGGTGTATGAAAAAGAAGAAAAATGTGCGAAATTGAATGTTAGAGGTGTAAAATAAAAAAAAATTACGGATGTTTTAAGAATTTACTTTAAAAAAAAAAAAGAAAAAAAGAAAAGGAGTTGTACTTTTATATATATATATATATATATATATATATATGTATGTATGTATATATCATGAACCAATATATATCTTCATCTATGTAAACCTGGACTCAAATATACTTTTGAAAATTTAGCTACAAATGCACTTCTGAAAATCTAGCTTCTCTTGCACTCACTAAGTAGATTGACAACCCTCCACTGCCTTCACCTCCTCCACTGACATCAACCTTTCCTTCTCTACCTTCGACCTCGTGGTCCATGCCAAGACCATGTTTAAACTCATTTGCCCCATTATTGTTTCTTCTCATGTGTTTATAAGACCTGCAACACTCTTGTCTCTCTTTTCGCTCTTCACACTCCTTCCTAAACCTTAGTTTTTGTTTTCTTTCCCCAAGGCTGAAGTGGTGAGAACTAGGATTGTGAAGTAAGATTCATCATCCATTATTCATCTTCAACCCTAGAGTCGCACGAACACTTCTTCTTCTCCCTTCTCTTTAGCTCAAAGCCGAATTCTTCTTCCTTTGAGGTAAGGGAAGATGAGATTTTGGGGTTTTGGGTTGAAAATGTGGGGTTGTTGAATGAATTGAAGGTTAATGTTGATAAATTTTTGAAATTTGCAACTGAGGGGTGAATTCAAGGGGGTTTTGTGTTGAAAATTGGAGATTTTTGTTGTTCTTGAGGTAAGGTTAAAATGTGATGATTTTCTTGAGTTGTTGTGGGTGCATGTTGTTTTTCTTAGATTTTCTGAGTTGTATGATGTTAGTGTTGGAAGGTTTTTGGGTTACATGTCTTGATCCTTGCATGGGTTGAAAGGATTTGGAGATTTGAGTTGTTCATCTGCTGGTATGAGTTTATTGGGTTTGGGATGCTAAGCATGAGTTTTCACGCTTAGCGTGACAATTTGGGAGTGCTACTGGAATGTTGGGGCTAAGCGTGAGATTTTACGCTGAGCGTGAGAGTGAGTTGTGCCTCTTGAAGGCTGACGCTAAGCGTGGAATTCTGTACTTAACGTGAGAGCTGAGTTGTGCCTCTAGAAGGTTGAGGCTGAGTGTGAGTTTCTACGCTGAGCGTGGGGACTTAGTTTAATAAATATCTTTTCTAATTAAGTTGGTTGCTTACATGATGGATGAGCTGTATGTTGAAAGCTTGTTATTTGAGTTGTATTATGGTTAAATGATGTTGAATAAGTTGTAAAGATATTGTATGATGAGGAACATTATGTGTTGAACATATTGCGTGTTGTTGGAGTTGTTTATATGTTGTATGTTGTTGAAGTTGTTTACGAGTTATGTGTTGATCAATTATATGTTGAAAAGATGATATTGTTGAAGCATGTTGAAACTAAGTTGTTAAAGTTGTTATATGTTGTGCGTTGGCTTATATGTTGTGAAATATGATGAGATGATTTAGTTAAGAGTTGTGAAGTGCATGATGATAATGTTGCTAAGTTGTTAGGTGAGAGTTGTATGTTGTTATAAAGTTGTATATTGTACTATGTGTTGAAAAGATGTTACCTTGTGATGGTTGAGTTATAATTTGTGAGTTGAATTGTTGAGCTATTGAGTTAACTATGTTATTTAAAGTTGAATATGAGTAGTGATGATTGAGTTGTGAGATGTTGAGATGCATGTTGAACATAGTGTTGTAAACGAGTTGTGAAGTTGAGTACTTGTTAGAGATGATATATGAGTTGAAA